GTACCAGTCTAAGAGTGGCCATCTGTCGTGGAGTTTGGGCCGATGCGATGCATTTTCTGCGTGATTATTATTTTGCGCAGGCACTCATTTTCGAAATCCTCCAACATTTTTACTTCTTCCATTAAGTCCATGTTTCACTGTTATTTAGGAAGGAAGGTAAAACTGTGCATTCGTATAATTTCACTCTTGCTTCTATAGTATGATTTCCATAATTTTGCTCTTCTGCCCATGATAATATTTCCCTCATCATGAACATACATTTTTCAGTTCGGACTCTTATCATATCGTTATAACCTCCTATATCATTAATTAAATCCCCTAGGTATGAATATTTGGTGCATTTTTTGATTACTTGGTTGCCTATTAATATCTCCTTCTCTATCCTTTCTTTGTTGGTGAATTTTATATAACCATTGTATTTGTTTTGTTCATATTAAATTCGAATCTTTTTGATTCAGCTAATCTGGAGCATGACTGAGCGATTTTTGTTACTGTTTTATAATCTCCAATTCCTAGAATATCGTCCATATAATAATAATCATTGTCATCTTCTAAAACTACAGACCATCCGCTGACCGCTGTGGAGACGTGCGCCGGGCCTCGAATTTGGCGCACGTCTCCACTGCAGACAGCGCTTCATACTTGAACATCCCCGCTGTCGCGTGCACATATCCCGCGGAACTGCGCGCGTCTCATCCGCGCACAGCGCTTAGTGTGGATCAACAGCAAAGCTGTGCCACGCAATCTTGTATCATGTCTCTCTGGATATGCCTTAGAGAATCCAATAGCTTAGGGACACTGCTATAGTAGAGAGCATGTCTGATATCTTGATATCTGACGGTTTGATATCTAAAGGGGGGCTTATGTCGGGCTTGCGAGCCGACTCGACTAGAAGCAACTGGCTGCGAATTCACTGCGACTGCAGTGCTTAGGTCGGTCGACTGCGACGCGACTGCCTGCGACTGGCCGCCACTAGTTGCTCGGAATAGAACAGTGGGCAACTGGACGCAACTATAGTCGCTGCCGATCGCTTCCAGTTGCTCAAAATCCAGTTGCTTCCAGTCGAGTCGGCTCGCAAGCCCGACATAATTAAGCCTGCCTTTACTGACAACAGGCAACTAAGGGTACGATCGAGTCTTTAGAATACGTTACTACGTCACGAATTTTCTATGGTGTATGCAATTTAACCATAAAAAGTGAACATTTGTGAACATTTTGTGAAAAAGTGGACATAATTTTTTAACTTTTACTATTTACGGTGACGTAATCACTTTAAACAACAAGGCACACGTAAAAATATTTATTGCTGCTAAAAATTTAATATGAATGGAAGGCTGAAATTACTCGTAAATCATAAAAATTCTTCCCTATTTCACCATGCAGCTTCCATTTGCCAAATTAAGCTCCTAGCAGAAGACGAAATATTCTCGGTTTCTAAATTCCACTTTTCCGTATATCAACATAAATTTCCCTTTAAAACACCACGTAAGTCATGGGTGTGTTTCAGCAGACAGCAGCCTTTGAAATAAGATTAAGAAACCTTTCACGAATTCGAAATTATCGTATATTCTCACTAGCGATACATTTTCAGCACGCAAGTCGGATATACATGCAGTGGCACACTATATAGGGACACTCACACACACACACACACACACGCACGCACGCACGCACGCACACACACACACACACACACACACACACACACACACACACACACTAC